ATTTCCGTTCTTTTTTCATACTCGGACACTCCTCGAAACAAGTCATTCAAAAGTGATTGTCGAGGATCTGCAACGACTTTTTAAATTTGTCGTTCCGTCTTTATTGCAGTTCCATAAAAATCGAAAAATGTCAAGCCTCAAAGGTAAATCACCGCTTTGAAAGCTGCAGCTTATCTTTATACCCGATCGTTAAAGTCTCCTCGAAAAGCGCCCTACAGTACAAACATTATCCTGAACTTTTTCTTGCCTCTAGTGTAGGAGTTGAAAGTGGCAGGTATTGGTGTAGGGAAACAAATAGGGCGAGGCGTGAATGATCGATTATCGATATTTCCACATTTGCAGCTATGGTAAAGAATCGATCATAAAGGTTTTCGTTGCGAATACCCTGTTCAGTTCATCGATCTTTTTCCATAGGTTTAAACAGCAGATCGATCAATACATCGCAAAACACGCCACACCACTGGTACAGGGATGCAAACGCCTACATATACGTCTCCGTAATCACTCTATATAGAGTGTTTTTCGAGGAGACTTTAACGACCGAGTATAAAGACACGCAAGCAAAATACACTTAAAAATATTAAGACAAGCTGCATGTTGATAGAATCGGCTTCTTTTAGACGGGCGTAAGTCCAAAAATTCATGAATCCTAGCGTCCTTTGTTAGCAATGAAAGCCAGAGCTTATGAGTTTATGAGCTTAGGCTCGTCGAACAAAAACCGATCCGTTTCGGATACGTTTTTTCTTGTAAGTCAGGGAAAATGCGAACAATTGAAAGAAATGGAAGGTGTTCGGCAACCTGGAAAACTGAGAATACCAAGAATTGTGTGAACATATTTTGGCACCCGGGAGAACCCAGGAAACGTCGTTGAATCCGTGAGTGATTTCTTGATCGTGTGTGAAAGTAGCAAGTTTTCACTTTCGTGGTCAAAAAACGCAGAAATTTAATAGGCGGTCGGAAAAAGCTTTCAACTAATGAACGATCAGAAATTCCTCATTTTCCGGACCAAAAAATCGTGGCTTTCTCGTCGTTTTCTCTCTATCTAGAAATGATTGATATTTTTGGAATGTCGTTCTTTGCAATGCCAAAAATCTCGGAATGAATCTGGACTTTTTTCCACCTCTGAAAATGTTTTATGTTGGTATTACTCGTAGAGATCGTGTAGCTTTCAACGGATTTTTGTGATAGGTGCGTTGGACACCCGAACTTTTTTCGGTAAATTGAGAATACATTAGGGTTACCACAGTCAGGGAAAACCGGGAAATGTCAGGGAAAAATCGTCAAATCGCTTTCATTCGCTTTTTCGATTGGGTTCAATGTTTCGGAAAACAAATTGTGCCTGAAAACCATTTCTAACCATGTCTTCTTAAAAATCTGGCATTTGTTTAATTGTCAGGAAATTTCACCAAAATATGTGAAGGAAATCAGAGAAATGTCAGGGAATTTAATTTTCCAAACTCTGTGGCAACCCTGAAAATGAGTGGAAAAGGGAAGCAAGCACTTTGAGTAAAGTAGTTCCTAAGGAAAAGTAATTGCCGGAACATACTGGAAAAAAAAGAATCTTAAATTTGCCGCCAAGAAGTATTTCTTCTTAAATCAAGAATTTTTCTGGTTAATATAAGCTACTTTTTGGCTCAACCCAAGCATTATTTTGCGTGTATCAAGAAAAAGTCAGCTTAAAGCAAGAAAAAAAAATTTCTTGGCGGCAAATTCAAGAATCATCATGCTTGATCCAAGCTACTTTTTTTTTCAGTGTGTCGAAAAATAAAACATGGAAGATCGTTTAAACTGTCCAATGAGGTTGCGCTGCGCCGCGTGACCAGGGATCGGAGGGGAAGACGGGCGGCCGGTTTTGCTCCCAAAAAATACATATCCGTTCCCCTTCTTTTCTTTTTCCTCTCCTTACTCTTTGGTGCCCCCCCGGCACGCCCCCGCCCCACTGTAGCTCCCCGATGCGGTCGCGTTCCCCTTATCCAGCTTACAGTGGGCTCGCAGAAAAAATACCGGGCAAAGATTTTGAATCGATCGTTCGAACTCCTGGATGTTCGTTGACGGCCTCTAAAAGAAAGGCCATTGATTCATACAATTTTGAGTCTCGGCGATTTCGAAACTTTGCAGAAGCTATACTGCTGTGCTGAGAAAAAACGCCGTATAAACCCTCAGGCGTTGCCATTAGATAACATACGAATTTTCAACCAAATCTGTGAATACCTATTTTTCCTCCCAATCGATCAATTTTGAACGCAATTCAATATAAATTTTCTGCAACTTTCAAGGAAAAACATGAATAATTTTCCCAAAAATACATGTTTTATCCGAGGAAATTTGGAAACTGTTGTATATTCATACGGCGTTTTTCCTTAGCAATCCTACGCATTTATACGTAAATATCACGGAAATGTACGGATTTAGCCGATTTCGCGGATAAAATTGGATGATTTCGAGGATTCCGCGCGAATTCGCGATAAATCTGGAAAATGGCCGATTTCGCGGTATTTCGCTTTATATTTTCGTGATCAGAGGGTTATGATCGGTGCTTCTGTCCGGTTTTCAGATTCCTGAGCACATTTTAAAAATTTCGCGGCGAATCGCGGCCAGGGTCGGACTGGCTCGCATCTGAGGGCGTATAGACCCTTGGCTGGTTCTTTGTAATGTGATACTTCCTGGTAGGGCTTCCGCTACGTGGAGAGGGGTTCAGAAAATTTTGGCAAAGCAGCACAAGTTTATGCTATTTTCAGGTTCAAAGTTTATTAATCATACGGAGTAAAAACTTCAAAATTGAACGTATTGAAGTAACCGACAGACCTCTGAAATTAAAGAAAACATAAAAAATTAAAGCACCTAGACGCATCCAAGCACCATTATTTCCAAGAGAACCGAGCCAGTTCTGCGTTTTACACGAGCTTAACATGTGGGTCTGCAAATTCATCTTAAAAAAGAATCAGACAAGAAAAAAGAAGAAATAACGAGTATCAACACAGCCGAAGATAGGAAAGACGCATTCGGGCCTAATTTGAAACTTTTCTTCCGAAACTGAGCGACACCTCATTGACAGCGTATAGCAGAGCATTGAGAGCTTACGCTTCGCGTCATCGCGCCTTCAATTTTTCAGATGCAGCACGGACATCCATCAAGTACGAATAGTTGTATCTCTGCGCCGTCGTTGACGCGCATCCTTTCCCTCGCTTCATTTCCATATTATGTTTGTTTGCGATTGTCTTATTGTTTGTAATGTTGCTTTAAACTAGAGCAGAGCGTTGCGAGTTCACGACTAGCGCCATCGCGTCTTACATTTTTCATAATGCAATGTAGACATCCATTTGAGGGGCGCGTTCTCGGCGCGCCAAGAGGGCGTATCTGTCGATGGCATATTGACCTTATGACCAGTCCGAGCCTGATCGCGGCGGCGAAATTTTCCGATGTCTACCTACTATTGTGCGGCGGTCCGCGTCTGTGCTCGCCGTCATGTCTATACGCAAAGCGCATCAAACGCACACCCACCCCCCCTTTCAGGTAAAATCTGGATATTTTTTTCGGCGAACCGGCAAAGTTGTTTTTTGCCTCGCCCCCTCGACTTCCCCCCTTCCCCCCACCGAAGCTATTGCGTTTGTCATCACCAACCAGGCGCGGTTTCGACGAAGCACGAATCAGTGTCCGTCCCTCGCTCGCGCTCGCTCGCTAACGTTCGCTGATCCCTTTCGCGCTTACGAAGTTTGATTTTTTACGGACGTAACCCAACGTTTTTCATGATGGTCTGGCAAGGCGGGAATCCACGCCCCTTTTCGCCTCCGCGAAAGTTTCCGAACCGCTCCCCCAGATTTCCAAACAGCGTGTATCCTGCAGGTATGAAATCCGTGACATTTTAATCAGTACAGTGCGAATTAATTTAATTGTTGGATTCCTGGCATCATACAGTTCGTCAAATATCATGTTATCCTATAGTGTAACTGGTAATTCGTCCTACTCAACAAACCTTGTTTAAAAGTCTTTACCTAACAATCAGCGCCAAATAATTGTTCAAAAATATCAATTTTGTGCGGTCAGAGGTATGCAAAAATGAGGGGAGCGATCTAAGTTTTCTACTTGTTTCCCCCGTAGAAAATATTACATGCTACTCTAACTTTTGGTTCAAATTACTTTTATTTCAATATTAATTTTACAATATTTTGTACAGTTAATTTTTGAGTCTACGTTGAGCAACACTAAGGATACTTAGTTATATGCTCCCGATCTGCTATTAATTCTGAATATTAAATGTTTTGAGTCGCTCAATACGTAGGTACCTTAATTTGCGATGTTTCAAAATCTCTGCTGTTTTCTTATCTTTTTGGAGGGAAACCAATAAACGTCATGTTTCAAGAGACGCCAGTGTAAATTTTTTGATATGAAGGCCAGGAGGATCTTTTTCTTCAAGGCATGCTCTCAGTCTCAAGTGCTAATTTTATAAATATTACACATTCGCAAGTTGTCTTGTTTTTACCGGCGAAACCCCAATTTCAATGTATCAACCCCTTGAGACTAACTGATTTCTCAAAAATATCCCATCGTGAAACAAGGTCCTTTTCCCTGTTCAATAGGCATGTGTTTTCTAGCTTTTACACCCACATTTCTTCGACACTAGGTATGCAGTATGCATATTGGTTATACATTGAAATTACTGCATCAGTTTTTGTTACTTCAAAATTTGATGTCACCAACATAAATCAAGGATGCTTGGAGTCTTAAATGGGGGAAAGAAAGTTGTTACTCACTTCTTGGTGCTGAAGAATTGGATTTGAATTTTTCACAGAATATATTTTTAGACTTTTTTTTAGTTGAAACCACGTACCTACATTCCAATATGGTCAAAAACTGCACATTATTCTATATCTAGGTATACTTACCCATGGAAACTATCACATCCAATTTTTTTCCGAATTCTCTTTTTTTGAAAATTACATCATGGCTCATGTTTTTTTATTCCAATTTCATGACAAATTTTCTGTTTTTTTTTTTTTCAGTGCGCAGTGATTCAGGGAACGTCAGTATGCATCAACAAAGTCGCTTGTCAACCATCTCGTTCTGGTTCTCACAGATGAGTGAGACATTGCAAGCGGTCGCCTTGGTGACACTGTTTAGAAGAACAACACCAAAAATTTCCAAATTTCTAGCGATCATTCTGGAATCGGCTCTTAGTGACGAGACAGAATTGGAAGCCTCTATAATGGAGGCTAATAATCTAGGTAAGGATTTCAGAAAGTTTTGTTTAGTGCAGTAAATGTGGCACTCCTCAGCTCTTAAGACGGTGTGTGTGATGCACCTCTTTTCCATCTACTTGTGCGCCTTCCTTAAGTACCTATGCTTGATCTGTCTTCTTTAAAACAGCTTATAGCATGGCATGCTCCAAGCTCAGAGAGCTATCCTATAGGCAAGGAAAAAATCATGTTTAGAGTCTCTTTATGCTTACCTGTGTGAATCACCAGAAAAAGAATTTTTACCAACTCTTAAGAGAGAAGTTAAACAGACACGTAAGGGTTCGACATTCAGTATTTTGATCTAAGTCAAAATGCCGAAACTCTCAATCTTCCAATTTTTTAACCCACCTTTTTTATTTATTCTTGGATGTTTTTCTTAAAATTTCTGGATTTTTTTACTAAACATTCTTGTATTATTTACTTTGAATTCTTAGGCTTTTTTATTTTGAACTTCTGAATTTTTTACATACAATTCTTAAACGACCCTGAATGCTGATTAAGTAATCTAATCATTCTTTTAATATTTTTATTTTTTAAATTGACCACTAGAAAATTTACAAGTTTTTGTAGTAGGTGTAAGTTTGTGTACAAATTGTCATTGGCTCTCAAAGGAGGTTTTATACTTTGGGTCTGGTCTGACCATCATAATTCCATTTATCTTACTCATTCATATAAGTAATCATCAGAATTTTAACACAATTATGAATCAAAATATCTTAACTAATAAAACTTAGCCTTTCAGTTTGCAAGTTATGGTCCGTCTTTTTTCCTCTCCTTTTTTCAAACTTATTCTTATTTTTCTTCTTTTTTTTTCTTTCCACAATGTCTTGATTTAGCAGGAAAAACAGTTAAAATGTTAATGGACTGGCTCATATACTGAAGAGTACTTTCTTTACCATCAATCATGTAGTAGATGTGAAACGTTTGGTTTTTTACAGTCTCAAATAAGAATTGAGTCAATAAAATTATCAAATTGCATTTATCAACTGTAGCTTTGGATGTAGTTATATTCAAGCAAAGAGGAGCCTATACCTAATACCTATTTCAATGTTGCAAATCTCTGTTTTCATAATTGCTCTCCATTAACGCAACATCATTGTCTCTTCAGTTTGGAAAATGGAGGGGTTCCTCATCATACAAGAAATAAAGTGGCACCAATTTTCAGGGAAAATGGATCAGCGGTTTGTCTTGGACATAATATAAAGACTGCATAGACGTGTATTAAAAAATACAATTATTGAGCAATGAAGAAAGTTAGTATTAAACTATAAGACAGTCTACTATGGTTACTATTAAATGCCATTGAGCTACTCAGCACAACAGGAAAAGTCACTTGCGTCAAACTAAAATATTCCTGATTTTATATTTTCTGTTTGTTTGTTTTCATAGCAACTGTTCGAAGTATCAGAGCACTGGAGCAGGAAGGTGCAGCCATGTCGAAAATTCTTACCTGCCTACCTCTGTTAGACCCACACAACGTAGAGGCAAAAAATGAATATTTGAATATCTCGAAATTGCTCTTGAACAACGCTGTCAGCACGGGGTTCTTTTTAGAAGAAGCCAAAGAATTAATGACAATTCTTATTCTTCACCCTGCTTTTAAACCAGAGAAGAAGTAAGTAAACCTAAGGTGAATCCGGGCTTGGAACTTTGCGATTTGGCCACCACGTCGCGCTGCTCAGAATAGCCGCATATATTTGCCAAAATAATAAAAACCGTAATACTTATTCAAGATTGGAGATCCAGGGGATATGGCAACATACCTACTTGAGGAACACTCAGTAAAAAAATCTTCTCAAAATTCCCAAAAATAAAGTCTTAACTATGGCGGAAAGTAATTCCCATTGCGGCAATGGGAGAGAGAGAGAGACAGAACATGAGGGATTCCGTTGCGCGTTCAGCCGCCGCCTCTGAGCTGAAAGTTTCAGCCGTACTTTATCTGCGCTTGTAATTCTAATTGCCAATATTTTTGGCTCAAAAATCAAACAAAAATTAATCTATATCTTGTGGATCTACTTTTTGTAATTCGAGGAATATTATTTCAGTAATCGTCGAAGAAAAGTGAAATTCTCAGTGGTGACTGGTGGCGCTATCTCTAATCTTGAATTATCCCTAATCGAACCCTGGATTCACCTTAACCAAAATGTATCCAATACATCGTTCCTCTAAATAAGATGATAAGATCTGATATTTCTGTCATATTCGAAGCAATAATGCTGGAATCTCTTTAGAGTGCTGTCTTTCGAACTAAATTTTTCAAATCCCTCCTGAGTCTGGTAGGAGAAATTTGCTCTCACAAAGATTTTCTGGGCCAGACTGAGCACATATGGTGCCCCTAAGCGAGATTTATTCCGGCACCTCCAGCAACGTAAAGTGTAATGGCATTGTTTAGAGAGGAAGGCTGTTGTCACTATAGCATCTTGCACTCATGCAATGCGTGCCATTGTTGAAATTAGTGAATAATTTCCTCGATGCCTAGTATAATGTGCATTTTTCCTTTTATAAAAGCTTACTTTTCTATCCCTGTGTTGAAACCTCTGTGGACAACATTCTCCTGAGTAGATATTGAGTTGAGCATTGTTGAAACACTGGAAAAAAGTTTTAGAATAAAAATGATCGTAGTTTCAGACTCCCCTTTTGACTGATTTTCTGCTTGCATCCTGTTTTACTTTTTCCTAGAGGCAATGTGCATGAACATATCTGCAGAATTCATTTGATTTTGATAACTTTTTACAAAATGAAGTATAATTTCTACAGACCCACAAATGCATGCAGAAGTGCCCAATTTAAAACAAGAACTTTTTTGGAAGTGGTCGCTAAGCTTGGAACTAAAGGGCACTTCAAGCTCATACTTACTTCAAATTGGCGCTGCCCCAGGCTATGCGCTCCTAGGTGTTTGCTAGGCTTTCTCTCTACCTGGAGCAGGTCTGAAGATTTCAGAGTCTTTTTAGCCTAACAGTAAATCGTGCTCTCCTCAGAACAGAGAGTGACAGGAAAGAGTGTTTTGAAGGTTGCACTACAGGGTGGCTAGTGCCTTACTGGAGCATTATTTCAACTCTTTATCAGAACAAATAGCCTTTCTGTCCATCGAAATGATTTGGTAATTTTCCCAAAATGAAATCTGTCATCCGAAAAACAATACTGTAATTTTAGCTGCTAGCTGTGTGGTGAAAAATAGATCAGTGAATTCTTTTCTCTTTTTTCTACAGGTAAATTGTGCAGGAATCAATAAATGTATTATCATTTCATCTCAAATTAAAAAAGTATTATTGCTCTTTCACTTCATTGCGAGATTTTAAAATTGCCTCTATAGATATTGTTTCTTGGGTGACAATCTGTTTTTGATTTTGCCTTCAATTAACGCAATGTAATTGTGTTTTTCTTTCAGATCTTTTGAGAACTATAACCGAGCTCTTGTAGAAAAGTGTCAGAAAGGTGAGTCCCATGTGTTTCAGTGTTTTTCTGAAGAATATACACTATTGCATTTTTTTGTTTCAGTCAGCATTTTCAGAAATTTTTTTCATTAAAAACCAATTGATAATTTTGTATGCTACAAAGCCTCTCATGTGTAAAATAAGTTTCGTACTTCTTGTAAAATTTTCAGAGATTTTTACTAAGTTTTGAGGGAGGGTATGGATTCGAAAAATGAAAACGTGAATCGATCGACCCCGATTCGAAAAATGAAAACGTGAATCGATCGACCTCGATTCGATCAACACCGATTCGATCGACACCGATTCGATCGACACCGATTCGATCGACACCGATTCGATCGACACCGATTCGATCGACACCGATTCGATCGACACCGATTCGATCGACATCGATTCGATCGGCATCGATTCGATCGACACCGATTCAATCGACACCGATTCGATCGACACCGATTCGATCGACAAACTGTTAAAAAAATCGGTGTTGATTCGATCAACATGAATCGATCGAAAAGTTAAAATGTGATTCGATCGACAGTTAATTTACAAACACCCGTATTGATTCGATCGACATGAATGGATCAAAATTATGAAAATGTGAATCGATCGAAATTGACTCGATCGACAAAATTTGATCGACTCACGATTCACGGGTTTGTCGATTGATTCCCGGTTGTCGATCGAATAGGTATAAATTGATTCACGTTTTCATTTTTCGATCCATTCATGTCGATCAAATCGATACCGGCGTTTTTAAATTAACTGTCGATCGATTCATGTTGATCGAATCACGTTTTAATTTTTCAATCGAATCGACACCGGTCTTTTAATAATTTGTCGATTCATGTTGATTGATTCACGTTTTCATTTTTTGATCGATTCATGTCGATCAAATCGACACAGTTTTTTTAACGATTTGTCGATCTAATCGGTGTCGATCGATTCACGCTTTCATTTTTCGATCGATTCATGTTGATCGAATCCATACCCTCCAGTTTTGCGAAGGAATTGGTAAACACAATTAATTGAGCCATTGGTTTTGAGGAATCTTTTTCATGGTACATTAAGAGCGTGTAAGAACTATCTTCCTAGGAAAGCAATATATCCCACCTCAACGTAATTCAACAAATTTTTTACCACTCCTTTCTTTTTATGTTTAAGAAGCTCTAAATGTTTGAAATTTTCATTTACAGATTTGGTGGAAAATGCCACTAGTTTTCCAGTTGGGAAAATTAATGCCAAGCAGCGCAGCAACAGTCTCACTCCACCGTACTCGGAGCACTTTAGCCAGGTATATGCTTTTGAATCAAAGATTCCAGTAATTTGAAGGTGAAAAGTAATCACCTGTAAGAATTTTTGGTGTGGAGGACATTCTTCTCTATGATGCATTGAATAGGAACTTCATGGCTAATGGCTTCAGGCTTCGTCCAAAATAATGGCCGTTCCAACAATTTTGTTCAACCATCAGACATAATCAATAATATGTTGGAATTTTTAGCCAATGTGCGTTAAAAATTCAGCATAAAGTTGAAAAATCTCAATTTAAAAGGAAAAAGCTTGTTCGAGCACAGTTTTCCCTCAAAGGGATGTGCTGTTTGGAGCAACACTAGTTATGTCCATCCAGGAAGGCAACTACAGACGCGTTTTGGCCTTGTTGGGCCAATCCTCAGTGCAGTGCAGCCTTCTGAATTCCCTGCTACCAAGCTCGAGAGGTCGTGAAAACCAGCCCGAGTCCTGGGCAAGCGGACGCTGGCGGCAAGTATACTTGCGCCATCTAGTGAGCAATTAGCCGCACGTTGGATAAAAACTCCAACATACTGTTGTACGAGTGCGTCTACCGCAATCAGTTTGTGTAAAAGTGCCTCACCAAGGCTTGTGCAGTGCTGTTTGGATAATTGCTCCCTAGATGACGCGAGTATACTTACTGCCAGCGTCTGCTTGCCCAAGTCTCGGGCTGGTTTTCACGCGACCTCTCGAGCTTGGTAGCAGGAAATTCAGGAGGCTGCACTGCACTGAGGATTGGCCCAACAAGGCCGAAACGCGTCTGTAGTTGCCTTCCTGAATGGACGTAACTAGTGTTGCTCCAAACAGCACATCTCTTTGAGGGAAAACTGTGCTCGAACGAGCTTTTTCCATCTATATTGAGATTTTTTAGCTTTACGCTGAATTTTTAACGCACGTTGGCTAAATTCTCCAACATACTGTCGTACGAGTGTGTCTACCGCAGTCAGTTTGCTTAATCAATAATGTTTCCTATTCAAATTTGCCCTAGTGTGCATCCTGTTGGGTCACTATCTTAATTCTACTGATAAATTTTCATTTTGATATTTCAGACCATTTATAAGAAAAGGGACTCTAGTATGAGATTGCTCAAAATAGAGCAGTTTTAGGAGTTATTTATGAACAAATTTCTATGAGAATACTAAAAAATTGCACACAGCAATTGACTCATGGTGGTCTAAAGTTGTGTAAAAGAACATGATACAACTGTAAATAATTTAGAAGTGTCTGAATCCATATTTGTGATTAACCAATTGATTCATTATCTAATTTGACCCGGCTGCCCCTAGAATTAGTATTCAACTCAGCAATTGAACACTACCTACTAATCTCAAATTTATTTTCTGAGGTTGAAAATCAAAATACCAAGCATTTATTGTATGCTCTTAGAGAGAGCACAAGAAAATTTAGTTAAAATCTTCTTATTCTGTTGATGTTTCGCTGTCAACATCTTGAAAATCCCATAATTAGCAAAAAACTTGGCTCCTAATAGTATGTAACCTAACCTGGTGCTTGGCAGCCAAATACAAATGCATTGAAAATGCGGCTCAAATGACATCTTGTACAACCTCCACCTGACCTTCGCCGTATAATTGCTACAAATTGTCTTTGATGAAAAAAGCAACTCTGTTTGCATGATGACACAACGAATTGTAAATTCTTTGTCGGTGGCTTTTGACTTCTAGTTTACCAACAATTTTAATTTTCCTTTCTAGGACTGCGACTATGCACGAAAAGTACGAAGCAGCAGTATTTCTCTCTATGGTGGACCATTGTCACCTCAATCTTCCGGAACAACGTCCTCGGGCAGCGGCTCTGAAACCCATCTTGAAAACATGCACCTGATTAGTCCGAATGCCATCGCAAATGATCCTGTACTTAGAAATGGTAGGAATGTATTTCGACTTGTCTTTGAATTGAACCACTTCCCTCAATATTTACGTTTACATTGCATTGATCAACTTTGAAAATGTTAAAAATTTACATGATTCCCAAATTCCTACGTACTGTCTGTGCAATGTCACTTGCATAATTTTATTCAATGTCACTTGCATAATTTTATTTTGATTGATTTTCAGACTTCCTATTTCTTACTTAGCTTAATATATCTAGTACTAACTAAGGAGCTAACATTGAAGATAATGCTCTTTGTCCTGGCTCATAGTAATCAAAAATGAATGTATCACACGGCACTCCAAAGTCCTCCCAATTTTGATTCTGACTCTGTGCTTTTTTCCCAATTACCCCTCATATTTTTTAGTTTACTTTCAAATATATGTATGAGAGAAAATGCTTTCCAATATTAGAAGTTCTATAATTCTAAACTATTTTCTTGATCTTCCTATTTAAAGGTTACTAAGCTTTTTAGAGAACGTTTCATTGGTGGATCAATCAATTGATTATACTGTAAAACTTTGATTCAATGAATTTCTGGGGACTGGCGATAAAATTTATTAAATTTAAATTTCGTGAAATTGAGACCCGTGAAAACCCTGATTTTTGGATGCGAAAACCTTGGACCAACACCGATGGACTATTTGCGGGAAAAATTAAACATGCTTTACCCAGCGTTGATGTCTGGAATATTCCGTGCAATTGTTAAATTGAGTTTGATTTACATGGTAAAGATCGTACTCGGACAGGATGTTTCCTTTGTTGAATAGAATTTAATTTACATTGAGAAGATTGGGATTTTTTTGGTATCGCAACAAAAATTTGTTAATTCGAAAATTGTGTTAAATCGATGTTTGTTATTTCAAAGTTTTACTGCAAATGGATTCTAGGAAATTTGTAAAACAATCTCGAGCATCACGTAATGCTGTAGTGCGTCAAGCATTTGTACACTAAATTTGACCAAGAAACACTTCAGAATAACTCCCAAAAGCGTTAGTTAATGTTGCAAATTGAAAGGCGCAATGATTATGATATTCACTCGAACTGGACTTTTGAAGTTATAACAAAATGTTTTTGGTCAAATTTTGTGTGCAAATACCTGACATACTACAAAGTGATGTGATATCGGGAATTCTTAAAAAATATTCTAAAATCCAGAATTATCAGCAGATTTATCAGTGATGAAATTACACTCCAAAGTAGCGAAGAACCACCTTTACTGCAATTATTCAATAATTTTTTTGGTACTTTCTGTACCCTCTAGAAATAATTCTGCAATATATAAGAAAACAAATTTCTTTTGAGAACTTGATACCCAAGGAGAACTGTAAAATGAATAATTAATACAATGCTTCCTAATCTGTGTGTTGAGCTTGCAGCATGCCTATTTTACATTTTTTCTCATTAATTTTTCTCAATCAAATTGCTGCTATTATAGTTTTTGGTGCTCTTTTCTCTCTCTTTTTTTTTTTTTTTTTTTTTTTTTGCTTATAAAATAATATTTTCTGTTTGTATTCCAGATGTTGAGGCTTGGTTAAAATACTTGAGGCTGCACAAATACACGGAAATTTTCCTCAGGATGTCTTACGAGCAACTCATCAGCATTAACGAATCTAATTTTGAAGAAATTCTGTTGAGTCTTGGTTATGAACGTATCACGGAAGGCGCGAGACGGAAAATAATCTTGCATATCAGTAAACTTGGGGAGAGAGTTCAAGTTTTAAGCAAAAAGGACGAGGTAACTGTGCATTCATCTTCAATTTTTAACTGTTCAAGATAGAAGTCAAGGCCATGAATGGACCTCTAAACAAGGTGCAAAGTTAAGCGTTATGATATGTTTTCTCTTAGAAATTTTATGTGGAACTTGATTCGTATATTGAAGAGTACTGAAAGTAGCCTCTAACAAGATATTTAAGTTTTTTCAGGCATCAATTCAAACTTTTCATTTATGAGAAACCATATTCTATTGCATTAAACTGCGCTCTTAAAATTACTTTGACAGCCTTAGCAGTATGGAAATAATGACAACTTTGATATCTCCGGCTCAGCTCTTGCACTTTGTTTACACTTCGGAGATTACAGAGTGGGGAGAAACAATGCTTTTGTTGTGCTTGAGCAACTAGGAAAACCTCTGATTGAGTTTAACATGCCAAAAAGAAAGAACTTTGTTACGTTTCGTCTCTGAGTGATAATTTCCAAATCTGCGAACTTGATGTGCTTACGTAGTATCATCCTCCGCCTTGTCCCCTGCCCTGTACAGGAACTTCCTTTCTCATCAAATGTTTTTTTTTCAGTAGGGATGCTTTAAGTCCTGTGATTTATAAACCCATTTTTTGTAATCTTTAATTTTGTCTCACATTTGATGCTAACACACTCTCTGATACTAATTTCAGGAGGTCACCTCAGGTGAATCCTTGGTGCTGAAAGCAGCAATCGACGAACTAAAAATTATTGTCAATACGCCGATTAGGTCTACGTGCTTGGTGCCACACAATGAGGCAAACATACCATCATTATATTGTAGTGTTCTCAACAAAGGTAAGAAAATTGATCTGTCTGAAACATATTGATGGTGAAATAGCAAAAACGGGTATTTCAGATTGCAGTGTCATGGATTTGCTGACCTACTCCATTTTCGAAATTGCATCAGTGAGAACAAAAACACATCAATTCGGTAACATATCAACGCTCAATTTTCATTAAAGAAAGTCAGTTTTCAAGAGGGTCATTGAAGTTAACGCATCTATTCCAACTTGGACCTTTAAAGTGTTCTTAAGCACTTGTCTTTCGGCACCAAAAATCTTGTTCTTGTGCTAACTTCTTCAACTACTGTGCAGTTTTGTGTGTGTCCTGATTATTTTCATTTTTTCGAGTTGGTGTGTTTTCGTTCTCACTGATTCAATTCTTGTTAACTACAGAGTGTCATTTCTTGCAAACCTCCTTAAGTTTTCCTATCCATGTGAAAAATATTCTGTGAATATCTCAAGCTATGACTTTGGTTTAATCTCCTTTTAGAAATTAAAGTAGAGGCGGAGATTTTGAATCACCGCCATTGAAATAGGCGTCTCTGCTGTTTCACCCTTGCTATTAACTTCTATATTTGTATAGCCCTCTTCTCTGAGGGATGAGAAGTTCTAAAAATGGGATATTTATCACTACTTTATTCATAGTGTTTTCAAAATTCACAGTGAACCTTATGTACCGTAGGAGGATCTCAGCAAGTCAAACGATCTTAACCTATGATCTTTAAATAGGTAAAATGATCTTTAACCTATTGCACACAAATTGGCAGCTGTGAGGCAAAGCCAACTGACTAGTTGTTCTATTCCTATTGTTATATTATATTCCTGTATATTATATTCCTTATATTCCCTATGGTATATTCCCAATTCCTATTGTTGAGGGGTTGATGCATTGGAGTGCATTGACTCGGTCATTTTTTCCCATCAGCATTGAGACAAGCGACAGCCGGTCTTTTGTCATTGTGACTGTATTCATCCTGTTTTTAGCACACGGCTTGACATGCCACTCTGCGTATGCTTCTGGAACATTCTCACCAATATTCCCTTGTCACTTTTTCCACCTATTACAGTTAATTTTCTGAAAAAGTCATTTCCACCTCCTCTAATTTTTTACGAGGAGTTGAGAGTAACCGATATTTGGGGTATATTAGACTACATTTACCAGAAAGGAACCAAGCCACATCAGCTATTGCCAAATTCAACGGTGTAATTTGATTTTTTACAAGAAAACTTTTGTGCCGATATTTTTGAAATTTTGCAGGAATTTGCCTTGTCATTCACTGTTTGCCAAAAAATCTACACGACCTTTTTTATGTAAAAAATTAAATTGCCCAATTATATTTGACAATAGCTGATGTACCCTGGTTCCTCTCTGCTTAACGTGGTCCAAACGGAATCAAAACTCGTTAAGCGCATACTCACACTGGCAAAATATGACTGGGCCAATGTAAGCACTGTGACATATTATTACACTGTGAGTCATATTATTACGGTAAATTTCATTCACTTGTTTATCAATTTGATCATAAGTCCACACTACTTACTTTGCTAGGAAATCAAAGCCATAAAATCCCAAAAATTGTGTTAGATTTTATCCTCTTATAATTCCTTTTTGAATCATATGATCACGTTGACTAATGCTTTTTTCCCCCCAACAGTCTGCACGTACACATTAACGAGCTCCAACTGTAATGCACAAGCTATCCTTTGTGATCAACTAATACCTCTCTTGGACATCACCTTAGAAAAACCAGCTTTCATGCATCAAAAGAAGAAAATCATGGAATGGAAATCGCAGATAACGCAGTTAAATGCCAGGTACCTAATTCAACTTGGTATAGACTTTTTGCTCTGTGTGGGCTCCTGTTATCTCTGTTTTTATGAGTACGTTGTGCATCACAAAACCGTGTTTGAATAGTCACAGAATTTAGAACTGCAGAAATAATAGTATCCATCCGAATATCAGGTTTCTGTGTTCAAAAAGTAATACAGGGTGATCCAGACCACCCGTCCACCATATTTTTCTCGAAAACGGCGGAGAATTGAGCTTCGGGACCAAAACTTTCCTAGGGTAAATCGACCCCAAAGAATCGAATGAAAATATTATCAGCCCCCCAAAATGGCCCCTTGGGGGAGTTTTGGGGGGAGCCCCCCGTTTCTCGCAATTTTCAAATGGGATGGGTATGTTTTGACTTTGGATTCGGAATCTACGGTAAAAAATAAGAACACTTTGTTCTTTGCAGTTTTTCCCTAAACCCCCATTTTTTGGAGTTATGGGGCATTTTTGGGGCAATTTTCAATTCGACGCTGTAAGCGGCCAAATCATCAAAATTTCAAAATCTAAAAATCTCCTGGGAGGAGAGGTCAATACCTTTTTATTGATGTGCCACATGACCCCTGTTGCTCCAAAATTTTGGGGGCCACGACCCCCCAAAAATTTGGGGGCTTTGGAGGGCTATGAGTCGAAAATTTCGAAAGGCAAGGGTATGTTTTGACTTCAGATTTGGATTCTATGCGAAAAGTTACGTAGAATTGATATGGCGCATGGCCTGTTCGCTCAAATTTTTTTTTACCCCTTATTTTGTCCAAAAATACACGGCTTCTTATGGAGGAATGGAGTTCTTCAGTAATTTGGAGCAAACAGGCCATGCGCCATATCAGTACTACGTAACTTTTCGCGTAGAATCCAAATCTGAAGTCAAAACATACCCTTGTCTTTCGAAATTTTCGACTCATGGCCCTCCAAAGCCCCCAAATTTTTGGGGGGTCGTGGCCCCCAAAATTTTGGAGCAACAGGGGTCATGTGGCACATCAATAAAAAGGTATTGACCTCTCCTCCCAGGAGATTTTTAGATTTTGAAATTTTGATGATTTGGCCGCTTACAGCGTCGAATTGAAAATTGCCCCAAAAATGCCCCATAACTCCAAAAAATGGGGGTTTAGGGAAACAGTGCAAAGAACAAAATGTTCTTCTTTTTTACCGTAGATTCCGAATCCAAAGTCAAAACATACCCTTCCCATTTGAAAATTGCGAGAAACGGGGGGGCTCCCCCCCAAAACCCCCCCAAGGGGCCATTTTGGGGGACTGATAATATTTTCATTCGATTCTTTGGGGTCGATTTACCCTAGGAAAGTTTTGGTCCCGAAGCTCAATTCTCCGCCGTTTTCGAGAAAAATATGGTGGACGGGTGGTCTGGATCACCCTGTATGTACAGGGATTAATACTCTTTGAAGAAAGTGGCATGACAAAATCCGTCAAACAGCAGATTCACAAAGCAGGGAATATTTTTAATGGTTGCTCTGTGTTCTCCACCGATGAATCCAAGGTGGAAGGGAACATGGTTTTTCTAGACTCAAGTGACCGATAGCACTGTCTGGGTCTTGTAATAACAGCGAATTGGTGACTCGTCTTTCTGCTTTGTTTTCTGGTTGAAATTGGAATTGTAACTGACTCGAAACATTCCGGTTTTTTTTTGTGTGACCTTTTGTATTTAACAGCCAGATTTAGTTATTATTTTACTTTGTTTTTCCGCTGATTAAGTAGCCCTTTATTCGACAGTGCCGAAGTTTCAGTGATAGATTTTATTGAGTGGATCAAGTCTCTTTAGAAAGAAAATTGACCAATTCTTTGATAGGTTTACTCCTGATGTATGACTTTTATGACATAAAGACATCATTGATATGGTCAGTGCCAAAAAGCGCACAGTTGGTGGTGAACCGTTCCGTTTTCTCAAGAGTACCAAGACGCACAATGTACATCCGTCACTGCTACTTATGCTTAATTGCACTGCAAAACAGCCAGCATCAACAGAAATTACCAAGAGTTGCCAGCAGTACTGTTGAGATCTGGTAGCAAGAAGTAAACAGAATCCAGTGAACGGAGATCCTCGACTGCATATTATCAACCCACTGATATTGATATGTACTGACAGAACTATTAGGTTCCTTTACATATCAATGGCCAAAGTGCAAAACCACCTATCTCCATTGCAGTATTCCAAAACTTCCGCTCCTATTTTATTTTTTCGAAAAGAAACAACTCAACTTTATGGCTTGAAACATATACAGAAAACCCTGCTGACAGATGAGAAAGATCAAAGAAGTTTTTAAGAAGTTATGTTGACTGGTTTTCCAAAGAGAAAATTAAGTGTGACAGGAAGTTTGCAATGTCGCGAAAAGAGATTTGTGGTTTCACACGTTGGCCATCAAAATGCTCAGGAGTTGGTATTTCTAATTATTATCCCAGCCGTACAAGGCATCATTAAATTTAAATTTTAAAAGTTTCACTTCACATAATTTGCCCCTAGCTTGTGCCACTCGGTGTTCACATGCATTCTATTCATTGTGGTAGTTTAAGTGCAATATAGAATAGTGTAAGAAATTCAATAATTTCATTTTCCTCTTTCATTTTTAGGGTGCAATCGAAGCATTTTCTGCATGCGCCACAACGACCGAAGATTCACCGGAATAGCCTAACTTTGTCGCCAACATTGAATGTAGAAACTTTGCAGCTTCCCAAAAAGCACAGTTTACAAGACCACATTCCACTCATTGCACAGGTATGGAACCTTTGTTTTCCAAGAACAAACGATGTACTTCAACAAAGCTGAATTTTACCAATATGTTAAGTTGAAGTGATAAATTACTCACTCCTAAGCCTTAGCTGGCTGACTGTGAAAACTCTCAAAGGTAATGAAGGATAGCGAAATCTCTCCCTGCTTTGCTCTGGAGATAGCAACATGCTGCAGCATCTGAAAATCGGCTTTCCTAATCCCTCAATTTTTTTCAATAAACGTGGGGTATTTTTGAGTGCTGTAGAGAGGATTTCTCTGAACGCATTTCACTTATTTTACAGCATGCCAGCTTTCTGATTGTCTGGCAGGGGAGCTCTTTGTGTGTTTTTCCTCTTTTTAAACTTAATTTTAGAAAATCAAGGCGAAGAGGAAAATTGAATAAAGATCGATAGAGTTCAAAGAAGGAATTGAATAGCGGTCAGTACAGCTTAAAGAAGGAATGGAATGGAGATCAAAGAAGTGAAAAGAAGGAATTGAGTAGAGATCCAAAGAGTTGAAAGCTGGAGTTCACCATGGGCCTGTGGCAAACTTTAGCTAGAGCAAAAATGTTTCCATTAGTTAATGTCTCAAAAATCACGATGAGCGCATGAGCAAAGTTTGAAATGCACTCCTAACTTCACAATATGCATGAGAAATTTTGCGTTTTTCTGAGCTTCCCGCTGTAAAAACGATACTATGGCACAGGTGAACATTTTGTTAGAGGAGTCTTTCCATTCAACCCTTTCGCAATAGCAGCACCCAACTTAACCGACTTTTCTGTGCGTAAATCGCAATCAGGAACACTAAGTCAACTGAAGCGGATCTCTGTCTTTATCAACGCAAAGAATCGTGCCTGTAAACACGCTGAATTGTCAACAAATGGTTAGAATCTCGTCTAGGCACATGTATTTTGGCAGATTGGTGTCGGCCATTTTGAAAATTGTGTAGTATCCCAGTGCACAGGGGTTGGATAGAACGACTCCTCTAACGAAATGATCACGTGTGCTGTAGCATCGTTTTTGAAGCGGGAAGCTACAAGAAACGCAAATTTCTTACGCAGATTGTGAAGTTAGGAGTGCATTTCACACTTTGTCAATGCCAATTGTGACTTTTGAGACTATTACTGAAAGAAACAACTCTCATTTAAGCTCTAGTAAAGGTTTTCAATAGGCTCATTCCATTGCTTTTACGTCAAGGAAAGATGAGGACTTCAAAGTGACATCCTCTTCGTTTAATTGTTCATGTGGTTGATCACTAGTGTGCAGCTCATTTCCATTAATCAAAGGGATCAATTGTATTAAAATCAATGAGACGTTCGGCCTAAATTGCTTGATCCATGTAAAAACAAATGTTGCAAAACAATTTGTAATTGTTTAACATTTAGGGGTCTTGAAGATTGTGCAAACTTTACTCTTTTTCCCAAATTTTCCCCTTTTTTTAAAGTTTTTCTCAGGAGAACCTTTTTTTTAGAAGGCATTTTTTTTCAGGCTGTATTCATAGGGTGTTTTCTGGGCACCAGCTAATGTATATACTGGCATAAATGGACTGCCCTCTGCAATTAGGTACCACAAATTCTGGCTCATTTGTAAAAACGCTTATGCACATAGGGAAAGTGAAGGTGCATATGTTATTTCTAGACTGAGCCAGAAATTTTAGTTCCCAATTTCAAAATGTCCAAATGTCGTGGTAATTGAAGTTTCAAGAAACGTAAAACATATCTTCTTCATTGCTGAAGTGACTATTTTAAATAGATGTGGCTCTTTCTTTTATTACTTCCTCTGTTAATCGATTTTCTTTCAAATCTTGTTTCAGCGTCCTCCATCAGCGCCTCCAGCTCAAAGCGGCATTGATAGCTTAGACAGGCTGGAAAGCCTAGCCATCAAAGTAGCAGAAAAACCTCTGTCACCAGAGTAAGAAGTGCACATGATAAAGTTTTCATGATTCGATCTTACAATGATATCATTCTAATGAACTGGACCTATTTGACAAATTAAGCACATGTTGACAGAAATGGTAGTTGAATCAAATTTGCCGAGTTTTGAAATTAGTGTCGTTGTTCTTGTAACAACTTCTTTTTTTAAATAACACTGCAGACTTGGGTTCAACAACAGTTACCAAAAATTTCCTCCTCAGACACTTTTTGTGTGCAAACCTCCTCTTTTAACCCGCTGCAGCTGACAATTATGCCGTAACACTCAGCACGATTGCTGAAACCCCTCTGAAATATATTCAAGTATCTAACTGTTGGTTGCTGTCATAAGCTATACATTTTTCCACCTTTTCGATGTTTTTAAATTGCAAATTTTGGGAATTTAAATAGTTGGATTCAGGCGCTAAAAATTGGTAGAACTTCTTGCCATTTTCGTAATTTGCTTGTAACATCAGCGGAAAGTTAAAAGTTTCCTCTACAAATATGCTTTTGCTCTATACTCTCTTTAAGCTCACCATTGCAAATCATTTCATTTCACTCCTCCGTTTACAGCATGGCAAAATCGTCAAATTAACGATTGTATCTCATGTTTTTTTAGTAGTTTTCCGGAATTCAGGTTGCTAACAAATCCAATTTTCCTTATCTATGGGGTGCTTAGACCTAAGTTTTATGGTGCGTTATGTGTTATATGTTTGTATACTTAGTTAACAGAAATGGGTCAGTTGTGCATGCCCTTTTATCATGTTTAAATTATGGTAGCTTTCACCAAGGAGTTAGATAGAACGTCTATCTGAAGGCCAGTTTTCCTGGTTTATCATATGATACGAGTATGATATTTGTCCTTCTTGATGAATCTTCCCAGCAAAATATAGGCGTTGAAGGGTAGAAAACCGGAGATCATTTCTAACTTTGAAAGACATCCCTTACGATTTCTGTCCTTATTTGATGGCATTGGAAGTATGTCTTGAAGAAACTGAAATCAAAAGGAGAGATTTACTATGCGAGTGAAATTTACGTTAACGCCATTATTTTTACCGGAATGAATCATGGCTCGGATGTAATTTCACTAGGAAAATATGATGAACTCACAAATGCTGAGCATTCAAAACAAGGCCCAGTTGATCTTTTGATTGGAAGATTACCCTGAAATGAATTAAGTGGTGTTGATCATGCCAGAAAAGGAATCAATGATGCAACTGGCACTGGGGTCCTATTTTTTTAACCTCTTCAGTATTTTGCAATTCCTGAAGAACTAATTCTCACTGTAACAGGCACAACTGACCTGTTCATTTCTCTTATTGTTTTTCAACTACAACAATACTTTTCCTTTCCTTGCAACTGAATATTCCTCTTCTCAGACTATTGTCTTGTTTCAGGATACATTGACAATTGTATCGAGAACCCTTAAGCAACCGATAAAACCTATTATTTAGCTACTTTCTACCAAAATTCGTAAATCAATCTAACGATATTTTGCAATAAGGGACTTTAATTTCTTGCTCAGCCATAGAACTAGTGCCACCTTAATACTCTCTAAAATAGGCCATCAATGGATGTATCTTATCGCAAAATGCAGTCCAATATGGTTGCAAAATTTGATGTATTCCAAATGAGGAGCAATTAAATTTTTCTCAGAAATCATGAATAATTGTAAAACTACTAAACTTTTTGATTGTATTCTAATTTTATTTTCTTGAAGAAACTGTTTAATCATTTCCTCACAAAGATTTGCATATCTACCAAAAAATCTGTTGCACTACCAAGTGATTTTAATGTCTGTAGTAATATTGATTTGATTAGTTCCCTCCTGGTATATTCTAAAGCTCTCCCACTGGTAGTTTATCTTGACTCTTGATCATAAGTTGAGCAAGAAAAACGAAATATTGGCAAACCTTTCTCTGCACCAGCATCAATCATTACTCATTGTAATTTTTAGTCATGATCATAAATTTTATTTTCATCGCTTTGTTTTATTAATACAGTACATTGATTATTTGTCATGTACTGTTCGTACATTTTATCTTGTCTTTTTTCGAGGATAATGATAAATCAATTAAATTTTTCTCTTTCTAGCAACCTTCAAAGCAAACCTCATCCTGCATTATTATCGATCGTTTATGTTTTTCATTTTCATTTTCATATATTTTATTTTATGTCTATTATTTGAGTTCTATTTTGTAAATATTATTTTATTTTTTTCTTAAGTGGTATCGATCATTTGTTATTCACCAATCGTATATTTTATCTTAATGTTTTTTGCCTCTGAAAAATGACTAATGAATTATCGCTATTAGTTTTCTTATTTTTTTTTATCTTATCTCGTCTCTATACTTTCAAGTATTGTTCAATTCTTCCGATTTTATTCCATTCCTACCAATGTCAGGAAACTGTTCGATTTTCTCTGTAGTGAAGAACCTGCCCCTTATATTTTAAGTATCATTGTCACCAGTGTTCTGCCTTCCCCCTAAAATTTTAGGAGCCAAATTAACTTATTGCATATTCATTATATGCTTCCCCTCTTTCACAATTGCCAGTTTGAAATAATCGGCGGGGTGAGTAAACTTTTTTAGGCACCACGATGGCCCAGCCCCTTAATTTTCAGTCGTTGAAGCCCGATTTTTTGGCGCATGGCACGCTGGAAGGCAGAACACCGATTGTCACCAATTCTTTTTACAGTTGTGTATCTGTCCTCCTGGTTTAGATTACCTAATGATCAATTATGGTTGCAATAGTTATCTCATGTTTTTTTGCCATCTTTAGCAATAATTTTGTACTACTTTACTATCACACTTCTCTTTTGATTATCCTTTAATAAGTCTCCCATACATTTGTATCGGTAAATTCAAACATCTCAGATGTGTGTCATCTTTGTACCTGTAGCTCGGCTTTAAAGAAAGCCAGATGATTTTGCAAAGTGACTTTTAAGAAGGTGGTATAGTGTTCAGCTTCTCCCTTTAGTATGAGTATGAGGTGCCTGAACTTACCAGTCTTTAATGACACTATCCTACAAAACTAAAAATTTTAGTTTGCCACATGTCTCCATCAGAATTTCAAATCAATATCTGATAATTAGAGGTGAACATAGCACTAGTGGGTAAATTCGAACATTTAGAATGGTTCATTGTAAAAAGTCAATCATTGAACAGGCTATAATATTGTTCAATAGTAGAAATCGAAACTATTTTTATTGACTTGTTTTATGTGGATGTTTCCGTTCGGATTCTTTTATTTTTTTAAAACAATTTGTAATTACTTCATGCAATTGAACTTATGTTTCCCAAGGGCCTAAGTCCCAAAATCCAAATTTCAAGGAAAACTGAAGAAACTGTGCTTCTTGATTTGCACTTCATCTTTTGAGCCCAAAAATGTATGTGTCTAAAGGATACGTACTGAAACTGGGCTCCGTGGACCGTCTTTAAACTTTTCTCTTTTTTCTCAAAATTTGGATTTTAGCACTTTGGCCCTTATCAAATATGTAGGTTCAATTAAGTACCTATTTATTACCTTTCAATTGTAAATGACGTGTATTAGCATTTGGATGCATCAAGATCTATATTAATTTTCCACCAGCATCTCCAAGTGACAAGTCGCTAGAGATAAAGGCAGTCAGATGGAATTGTCTTGACAGACTTGTCCTTTAAAATTGTTTTCTTTTACGCTGTAATTTTTCTGAATACTTCGTGCTGTATTAAGTGAATTCTGGATTGTTAAGGAAGAGAGAGAAGTTGCATGATCCAAACAACACAATGACATGTGCTCTTTCTCAGAATAACCTCTCAAATACTCTTCTCAACTTTTTTGAATTTTTATTGCATTGACTCGAATTTTAACGTTCCTACTCTTGTCACGCTTGTTGGCCGTATTTAAAAGTGCAGCAGAACAGTTGCGGTTTTTGCAATGAAATGATATGCAAACGCGGATTTTCTTCTTGCTCTAAGTCAGCAAACTTATTTGGTATTAATTCTAATGAATGTTTTGAATTGTGAATTGTTTTAATGTGAATGCAATCCAAAGCAATGGTGCTTTCGATGAATCGGTGTGTAATCGCATACCCTACTTTGTAATCGTATGCTCTACCTTGCAATTTGCTCTTTAGCAATTGAGAGTATTAATGTCTTATCAATGCTTATTGAGCATTCATCCAATTTTCTTCACAGTTTTACGTTTGTTTTCTTTCACAGGGTCTTAATGAAATTTTATTGTAGGTCGATTCTCTAATTGTGAAATGTAATCCCCTCTGTTGTTGTAAGATTATGATCGCCCCTGGAGAAAATTTATCAGTGATTAAATGCTGCAGTACCTTTGGATAATATTTTTTTTTTTTTTTTTAATGAAAGGAAAAGCTTAATGAATTCAATCCGACGATCTTTATACTCCTGATTTCTAATTATGGCCCGGGTATTTTTATCAATATTTTTCTAATCTTGTTACTTTTTCGACTCTGCTCAAGTTCTAGATTATTAATCCCATGTTTCCTTTCGTTTTTTTCTTTCATTTTGAGACGTATTTTTGTAAATATTGATGTTTGAATGTGTATCAGTAAGAAAAATTGTCAATGATTTTGAGAAGGGCGATATAAGACCTTAAAATTCAAGTCAAGTTAATTTTCTCTGTTTCATTACTATTTTAACTGCTGTCATTGTGGGAAGTAAAGGGCCAACCGCCTAAGGCCTACCATTTCAGCAGATTCGAATGAGACCCCAATTTGTGTATTTGACTTTTAAAGCTTCCAAATTCAATTATCAGTAGCTTGTTGGTGCTGTATCTTGAGGAAGTCCATGTACGCTCCTTGTCAATAGAAATATTGATTCAGGAAATATATGTGATTGATTCAGGCAAAAGAGCCTCCAAGGTGCAAATTCTAATTATTCAACACAGCAAAATAACCAATATCGGGTTCGAAGCATTAATATTCAATTTCATTACTGTACGCTCAAAGAAATCAAATTTCAAGCCATAATTTTTATTACAAGCTGTGTTACAAGTGTTTAAAAATAACCTACTTTTAAAGCTGGCAACTGTGCCTGCATTCTTCTGTCTGTTCTCCTCAAATTCATATTTTCGACTTTAAAATGCTCCCAAACAGTCAACTCTTCCCTTAAATTTTTCAAGGTCCCTTTTGCCTGACTCAAAGAAATATGTCAAGTGGACTAATCTAATTTAATTTTTTTAAAGATTCAGATTGTAAGTTTACTTGTTCTGTAAACTTTTAGTACTCTATTTTCTTGCAATTTCAAGTTTCTTATTTAGCCGCTACACGAAGTTCCCAATAGTTGGCATCGCTGGAGCTAAAGCCCTTACATGGTAGTCCATTAGGGATTTAACGTTTCACTCTCCGAGCTTCTTTCCTGATTCAAGAGTTTTCATGCCTGCTGTTCAATAGCAGCACATGATTTTTTTGTTGTTAAAATTTATATCTTCATAATTGTGATATGCACAAGAAAATCTGAATATTTTCAAGTGATCCTTTAGTCCCTAAGTTCATTACGTGGTTTTCTGTTATGATTTTTGACTAATTTTTTTTCCTTTGCTTCTTTGAATCTCTTTCTGATAGACACAATTATTTTTTAAGCAATGTGTTTACGTGTCTCAATATTCATTTGTTTCTGTTCATTTTGTTCTTTGTTAATTTTTTAATAAATGTTCCATTTGTATTCCATTGAATTCTTATTCCTTCTTTTCTGTAAGTAGTGCCATACAGGGTGATCCGGAAGCCCTGTGCCACCCCCATAACCCCTCCCAAGGGCTCTTGCCTCTTTTTAGAGCGGTCCCTTCGATATTTTGGGGGTTCCTTAAAGTGGCCTCTCTCAACTTAGGAGCCTTCGCCAAATTTCAAGTGTGTATCTCCGTTTATTCAAAAGTTACAGGGGTTATGCTTGGTGTTTGCAGTGTGGGATTTTTGGATCGCCCTGAATTTTTTCCGGAATCAATATTATCTAAAAAAATGTGATCATCGGTTAAATTTACATTGCATCAATAAAAATCCCTCTTCTCCTTTAATTCTTTTACAAGTTATTGTAATAGTTTTCTGCTTTCCTTTTGAAACGTCTACAGAAAATTTCAAAAAGATGAGAAGTAGTTCTCCTATAAAACAAATTTCAACATAACCGGAGATCTTGAGACGCTGAAGTAGATACACATTTTCCGACTTAAGCCATCGATAAGTCAAACGAAAGTTGGAAATTTTCCACTGATTTACGTGGATAGTGGTCAGAAGACTTGCAACATGTTGTTTGCATTCAGCTTCTATCAGATGTTTTATAAATCCTGTCTGATGGTTCATTCAAGGATCATGGAAGGTAAATAAAATAAACAAAGTTGTGGGTGAAAACTAAATACATACTTTAATACACTAAGATTGGAAAGTTTGCAAAGGAAAGACAAAAAAGTAAAATCTGGAATAAAGTCTGCGGAAAATATTAATATTAATATTGATGCTTACTAAGTGATAGTAAAGAGGGATCTTTTCTTACTGTCCAAAAATAAAATACTGCATCTCCAACAAATTTTTCAATAATGTTCTGTTCTATAAGAAACTAGTCATGTAGGAGTAAGTTACATGACGAGAAAATTAATCTTGAATTTTCATCACTGTGGGCTACTAAACTACGTCTGTGACATTATTTTTATCGCATAATGAGGAATAGAGGTTTCAGTTACTACATTAATGGAAATTCTCATTCAACTTTAATTGTTTTAAATGATGAACCTTGCGTTAAAATTTTTTTGTTGCCCCACAGTTTCATTTTCTTGATCATGACTACTTCCATGAAAACTGCTTCTTTTAATAAAAAGAGCCGTTTGCCTTAAACATTAAACACAATTATGACATTATGTTAATTTGACGGGGCTATGTCGATGGCAAACTCTCTGCATAATACAAGAAACCAAAACTAAAATATTCCAACAGTAACAGAAAGGCGTGATGCCACTCAGGAAATGAAAAATTCTGGTTACTCAACAAATTTTAAAATTGTCGAGAGGGAAATAGAGGATTTTAAGACTCAAATTGATTGTAGGAGAACTGAGTGGCCCCATTGGGCGAAACTAAGACAACTGATACTCAGATCTTGTTAACACTAAGAATGGCAATTTTGAATCGATTAGTTCAAGATTTTGATTTTTGGCGATTGGGTTTTTTTTTTTTTTTTTTTTTCAAGAATTGGGATTTGATCTTCAGTCAAAAGTTTTAAATCTAATAGAATGGAACAATTTTGGTCAAGTTTTGGTTCAAATTGCCTATACAATGATAGCAATGACATCAATTGGAGTTTTTTTCAACAAAGAACTTTACCAATTGAGGAAATCGATATTCCGCAGAATTGGCTTCTGTTACTACATACTAATTTTTTACTTTGTTCCAGTTCTTGTAAAAGTATTAAATTAAAATTTCTTGTTCCTTAAAAAACACTGTTCCAGTTTACACTATCTAATGTGATTGAAAGATTCTAATAAAAAAAAAAAAAACAAAAAAAAAACACTTTTTGCCATGGCCTCAAGAACAGCTGTGAATCAGCTTGACAGAAAAAGACTCCAGGAAAAAAAATCGACTAGAAATTTGTCAACGGTATGACTTAATCATAACACTGCTCTAAGAACAGTGACAAAAATTCAAACAAAGAAAAAAACTAACAATACAATGAGAGAAAAACTTAAAAAGTAATCTTGTGAATTTTCACATACAATATCATTGACAGGAAAAATTGGTAACTTTAAAATCTGAAGTGACTGTTTGCTTAAACACCATCGTGTAAAACAGAGTACGGGTGACACATGGAAAACACAAAAACCAAATCAACACAATGCCAATATCATTAACTGATTCAAAGTTACCGCAGTGTGGAAATCAGAGGTCTTGCAATTACCGGTGGTAATTTTGGCTTTGTACGCAGGAGCAAGTATACACAAGAGGAGAGAGACTTCTGAAAGAGAAAAGTCTAACTATTGGTCAAAAATTTTAAATTTTCTTCCAAATTCAGACTGTCCTAAAATTATTACTATTTTTTTGGACAGACAGTATCTTTTCTCGGATTAATTTTAGTTTTAAAGGAAGTAAGATTTGGAAAGAAGGCAAGTTTTTCGACAAATTTAGTAGGCTAAGAGAGGACGATTGTGCTTCAGATACTTACAAGCAAGAGGTAACTAACCTAAGAGAGAGTATAGATATTTAGGACCTGAGAAAAAATAGTAGGAAAATACTATCGGGGTAGATAACGCTTAACGTTCAAACAATAACACTCCTTTTAAACGGTCAATAAAGGGAGCAAACACAAACCAAAATGCGATGAGCAAAAATTCTCAGCCGAACAATACTTTTGAACAAGGGACTATTTGCTCTGCGGTTTGGCCCATATTTGGTAGAATATCCAATCTTCAAGGAAAGATGGGACGAAGGCATGGTCAGTTGAGAACTCTACTGGAATTTCTAGCGAACTCAAAACAGTCTCGAACATTTTCAAAGATTCTGGGCTTGATGCACCATTACCCTGAAAAATCCAATGGTACAAGTTATAGTTTTGTAATATTTAGACAGAAAAAAATGAAAATATACAAAGATAGACAGGAAAAGGCAAGGACAAGGCTGAAAAAAGAAAAACACAATAATTATTTCAAATCACGGGACGTTTTGACCGGTCTCCTGGCCATTATCAACCGTCAAAAAAGAATTAAAAAATCTAAAAAAAAAAAACAAAAGCTACAATGTTACCGGTCCCTGGTCATGGTGGCTACGAGACAAGGTTATTCCAATCAAGCCTCCCAGAAAAACAAGTGAACATTCATTGATTAATTGAACATCAATTAATGTTCACTTGTTTTTCTGGGAGCCTTGAATAGAATAACCTTGCCTTTTAGTTGCCATAACCAGGGACCAGTAACGTTGTTTTTAGCTTTTGTTTTTTTATGATTTTTTAATTCTTATTTGACGGTTGCTAATGACCGGGAGACCTGTCGAAACGTCCCGTAATTTCTAATAATTATTGTGTATTTTATCAGTCTTTTCCCCACCTTTTTCTATCTATTCTTATTCCATGTTCTCGGGCTGCCAGTGTGTGCATTGTCTATAACAGCAAGTAACATGCTTCTATTGAAGAGTGAATTATTAATTTTTGGTCAAGCAGTAGATTTTTTTTCATTTCCGCAGTTCAGCCTCATGACCAAATTTGTTTCAAAAATTGAGTTTTTGTATGCCTCAGGGATTGCGATTAGCCCCAACTTCCAATAGAATAATTTTTCATTTTAAAGACAAAAGAAGAAAAACTTATTACCGATCAATTTCCTCAAAAAATTCTGGAGAGCTGATTTTTGAGGTTTCCTGCTAATACTTTTTCTAACTTTTGCTTTGTTTTCAAGCTATGTACTTCATGATGATAAAAACCCATGTTACTTCCTGAGATAGCTGAGAATGTTTGGCTTGTACAGGAGCAAAGTGGTTAAAGCTATCAACCAAAGGCTTTATTGAAAGTAAGAGTCTTCATGCAGTCACTCACTCAATTTACAGCTCTTGAATTATCCCGATAAGATTAATTATTTGAGCCTTCTTACTTCAGCTTATTTGCCCTTCCTGACACATCATTTTTGGAAGACAGAGACACGAGAAAGAGAAGAAAAGTCTAAAAATATGGGCTGATCTTGGAAAGTTTAGAGAATGTTGGGGTTTTCGAAGTTAGGTTAGATGATAAGTTTCCTGTAAGTTTTCCATACCTGCACACCACAGGTTTTGCTAGGGTAATTGAGGATCTAATATAGTTCCATTATCGGGTCATTCGAATTTGACAAAACTCGATTGAAGAATGAATAACCTTAATAAATAAACTATTAAGACTGTGTATTGAAATTGTTTCAGTTGTGAGAAGAGAAAAGGAAGATAGGTACTCACATGTGTCAGATACTTTCCATTGGGAGCCAAGACTTTGAAAGACATATTTAAAATAAGTTTGATGAAATCCCACGCTTCCCCTTGTGGCGATGTGGCTACAGGAATGTCTGTGAGATCTCCGAAAACGAAGTCAACTTTTTTCCCTTCTGCAATCATCTTGTCCAATGAATAGATACAATCATCTACAATAATCTGAATTTTGAGAGAAAAAAAATAATGAGTTTCATAAGTGATACATTAAAAGTGTTTGCAGAAAGTTTGATTGTAAGGAAAAATGCTTAATTTACAGATGAAATGTGCTATTTGCCCCACTTAGTTATGAGGGGGAAAAAAGTCAGCAGTTTTGTGAAGAGCTTCATGGTTCAAGAAATACATATACCTTACCTTTGCCGCAAACTCAGAAAACTAGATACACTGAACAAATTTCAATAAAAATAATCTAGTATGTAGGAGTTCTTTGCCAACATGCGTTAAAAATTCAGCATAAAGCTGAAAATCTCAATACAGAGGGAAAAAGCTCGCATGAGCACAGTTTTCCCTTAAAGAAATATGCTGTTTGGTACAACACTTCACCTGCAGTTGCCTTCCTGAATGGACATAACTAGTGTTGCACCAAACAGTATATCTCTTTGAGGGAAAACTGTGCTCATACGAGCTTTTTCCTTCTGTATTAAGATTTTCAGCTTTATACTGAATTTTTAACGCACGTTGGCAAAAAAAACTCCAACATACTGTCTTACGTCTTGTGCGTCCACCGCAATCAGTTTGTGAAAAATTATCTATTTCTTGACTACCAAAATTTAAAGGCGGTATTCAGTAAACTATGATAACCATAAATGGTTTAAAATATGTTAACTGTCAACCGTCATGTACAGAGGCATAGCTACAATGTGATGTTATCCGTGAACACATTATTTTTAAAACAAATTATCATCGCACCTTCAGATTTAGAAACTTCGAGGGAGAAAGGGAGAGGTTCTATCAAAATAAACAAAAATTTTAGAAATTTTAAAAATCCGAGGAATATTTCATTCATTAGGGAACAGACACTATGCAGCACCGTTATTCAGATACATCCCTTTCCTAGGCAGGCAATGATTATGACGATGGTTACCAAATGCAAATCTTGAATATTACTAAGAATGTAAAAAACGATCACTTTTGTTTGAGATTTGGATTGCATTTTGCAACAAATAAACAAAAACATTACAATGTTGCTAGGATTGTGCAACTTACATTCTTTGCAATAACATGCTGAAATCATACAAAAAATTAAATTTACAAAGATATTGTTCGCCTGAATTTGTGGTTAATTGTGAGTATGGATAAAATTTGTTTAGATGATCAGTTTATATATGCAAAGTAAAAAAGTTGCACATTCTTAGCGACATTGGAATGCTCTTGGTTTCCTTTTGCAAAATGCAAACCGATGGAGAATTCGCACGCAAATTTTTTATTGCTTCATCTGAAAGTGCTTAAAGAGCTGATTTCACAGTATTTTTTTATAATTTTTTTCTGATATGGAAAATAGTAAAAAAATAGATTTAAAAGTGAGAAAATGCACCGCCTAGTGATGTCATATGGCAGCATTTCCCATTTAGACACATGTATTTTAGCAGATTAGATCATTTTGTCATATTTTCTCCAATAATTATTCAATTCATGAACCAAGGGTATCTTGGTGTTCAGTTCATGCTGTAGTTTCCACTTGAATATAATATTCATCAAATTTCAGACACCTGCAAATTCTCTATTAAGGCAAGGATTGAACGAGGATGGAGGAAACTGACTTCCGTCGACTCCGGTGACAAGAAGAGATCAATTCACCAGGAGCTCAGTTACCTCCATTCTTCATGCCTCACTTACGCCAGCTGATATGGACTTTAGGAGGGAGACTGCACAGAACTATGTCTTCATTTTCAGATACCTTGACCTCAAAATTCGAAAATATTGTTATCAGATAAACATTGATTTCTTCTGGATCTGATTTTTCAGATATATGCAGGCAGAACTTTGAAGTTATCATGAACTGAATTGATGATGGCATTCACTGAAATAATCCCTGCAAATTCATTATTGAACTAGAAAATAGTATCGCTGCTTGTGCAGTCAATCACTTTACTTACTTCATAGTTTTCGCCTTTCATTGTGTCAAGACAATCCCCACAACAGCCTCTTAAATGCTCCTTGCAAGCTCGTAGCACTACTGGATCCAACTAAAAATCAGAACAAATAATTTGATAAATCAAGTAAAAATGATACATTTAGAGATCATGAATAAACGGTTAACATATTGCATGACACCCTTGATCTACAAACCCGACATATTGTATTCCTGGGACATTGCAATAGGTCTTTGGGTCCGGCAAAACTTCTGCAATGAAATCACTGATCAGGTCTAGGTCGGTCATGATGAAAATATGAAGGCTGCCGAGGAAGGGTTTTTAAGATATGAAGACACCTCGGAAAGGGGGTAAAAATTTGAAGGCAGCTCTACTTTTTGTGAATATGACTATTAAATGCAATTATTCTCTTAGAGGGAGGCTGCTAAGCGCACAACTTTTAGAGAGGGAAACTGTGAAACGTTATTTTTAAGCGAAGAAAATAGTGAAACGCATAATTTTATGCAGACAGCATTGTGAAGGCTGACTCAAAAAATGTATAAAGCAGGTGAATAATAGAGTTACTAATGGAAACCCACATGAGACCACCCGTCTCAACCAATGGGATCGCTCCATTTTCACTTTGTCTATCAAATTCAGTAATCAGCCCGCAGGAATCCTGAGGGGAGTGTTTATAAATACGAGAACATACAAAGCACAAAAACTTACTTCCAACATGGTAACAAATTTAGGTTTCTCTTTCAGAAGTTCATAAAGTAAAGCACCGTCTCCACCTCCTAGAATTACGATTTCTTTGTTTTCGTAGTTTATCTTCCCTCGCTGCATGAGGGTTTCGGTGTAAATAAGATCACTTTCGGCAAGATCTGTAAAAAGTAACAATAGGAATGGTAATAATGCAGAGAAAAGTAGATCAGAGGCTGGCTAAACTACTTTATAGATTTTGTTTGCCCATGGCAAAATTGGACTGATACAGACAGCATATGCTGAACTTCATTAAAAATACAATGATTTTAAATGTTAACTCATTAGTCAGACAAATGACTTATTTGTTTCAAAATAAGTCGATAACTTTGAATTGTCTTCTGATTGCGCAAATGAGAGACGAGACAAGTAAAATTGGTCTTTAATAGTTAATCTGTACTTCTAGCAAATTACCTCTGTCCAATTTTGTTCAAAAATTCCCTTCCTTCTTAATCCATCAGTGACGCTATGCCATCGAGGGCTACTTGAACATTTGTCTCAGATCTTACAGGCAAATTTCTTGACTACCTCCAAATTTCTGGGCCTATATTTAGAACAACAACACCCTGCTGCGTCAAAACAAGTGGATTGTCAATGGCTGAATGCAAAAAATGCATACATCAATTGAAACGTTTAAAAATCTCAAATCATGTTTTATTTTCTCCAGGAAAAACTGGGCAAAATGTTTTCTTGCAATTTTGGATAATTTTTCCAAAATAGAGAGAGAAAATTCACAGAGAATTCCAACAGAAATTTTTGATTAATTTTCCTCCCTAAAAATAAAACATGCTTGAAGACTTGCAACATCACAATCTGAGTTACGCCTTTTTTGACCTTAGGCATTGTTATACTGCCTTGCAAATTTCTGGACTGTTTTCTAGCATCTGCACCTATCATAAAAATACAAGACATTTTTTGTCTTCCTGAACCTGTGGACACCTTGATGAGTCAAACGGAGTGGATTTTACTGCCAGTAAAAATTACTCACTTTGTAGTTCATCTAGCAGGAGTAAATTTCCCAGTGATTTGGAGTGGACAATTTGCACCTTTTGGTAGGGAGACTTTTCTTCGAAGATAACTTTATCGATATCGTACTCCAAAATTCGTTCATCTGAAAAGAAAAAAGAAGTTTGATGTTGAGGAGGATAAAGAATATTATACAAGTAGAAAAAGTTACCTTCTTTGCATATTATTCAAAATTTTAGTGACAACTGTCAGTTCATTTCCTCTGCTTCAAGAGAGACAATAAATGTTGGCAGCTGCTAATTTTTATTTTACGAAATTAATGAGTGAGAAACTGAGTGAGTGTTTGACTGATCAAATATTCATATATTTAGAGACGGTTGTAAGATATGAATTTTAGGAAAGCTATTCAAGAAATTCTCAAATTACCGATGCTTGAATAGGTAATTTGAGTAAACAGTTGGGACAATATTTCTTAATGGTAGTGACTGGGGTCAAAAATTACTTAAAATTCATGTTTCAATTTAGAAAGAAATTTATCACCATGAAATGAAGCTTTGTAGCACAGTTGACGATGACACACCATAACAATGTAATCAGCGAGCTGATAATTGAAATTTTTACAGCCAGAGGGCCAATATATTTCACACAAACAATATGATGATGTATTGTCTTGCATATATTGTATTGTTACACAGCATCTTTCTCCTACTCTGACCTTGCCTCACGTTCCGAAGGAGAATGACAGAGTACCAGTAGGAAATTCAGATGCAATAGCAGAGTCACTCTACTAGATAATGCTTCCCTCAGTTTTATTGCAAGTAGGCACTATAGTTAAAGTAGCACCCTTTTAGATTCATGTTTTTTGCTGATACACTGATGAAGTTTTGTCATTAATAAAGAATAGATGTTAATTAAATAAAAAAGTTGGCCAGTAGCGCCACAAGATTTCCTTAATTGATGCAAGCATTAGCAGCTGACTTCAATTACTTTTGGTAGGGTTTGATTGTGTTCTAAATGCCTCCTTGCGATAAACATTTCAGCTATCCACTCGAAAATACATTGATACTCCATAAAGATTGCAGTACAGTTTGAAGAATCTTAATTAGTAATTACATGTCATGCACAACTTATATTGGAAGCAAGAATTTGAGAGACGTTCTTGGCAAAAGGAGAAAAGCAACATAACAAGAACTTATACAAAAAGATTGATGTTTACACCTCCCAATTGGCATTGACTGTTAAATTTAGACACCAAAAAACGTGAAACAATTGTTAAAATGTGCAAATTGGGACACTATTTTCATGTATTCTAAAAATTACTCATATTGACAGTGAACACAAAATAAACTGCAAAATAAGCAACTTGAAAAACAAAAATTTTGAGTAAAATTTATGGATATTTGTTATAAAATTCCACTAAAATATGAGGAAAAACAATTTGTAAAAGTGTAAGGGGGCATTTTTGCAAAAAAAAGAAAAAAAAAAGTTTCCTAGCTTGAATATTTTAACAGTTTATTTAAAAAGGTTTCTCTTTGAGAATTATTAGTTTTTCAACAGCCAATGCTAGGGACTGCCAAGTCCATTTTTTATTAATTAGTTTTGAAATTCATAAAAATGCCTAGTTCTGGAGCTCATCAGAAAGTGGACATGTTCAATTTTAATAACGGCCGATTAAAATTAAACAGAAACTATTAGGGAATCTTTTTGTGGAAAATATTACTTCCTATACCAAAATATCATAACTCGATACAAGACTCAGAACTCAAGAAAAGACATTACTCATTACTTTTTTTCTTCTTCTGTTACGTGACTTTTGAGACTCTGATTGTTCATGATGCAGTGAGCTAGCGTCCAGGCCAAATAAGTTTTTGCATTTTTAGACTGCGACACTGCCACAGAAGATTTGCAATCTAAATTCTTGCATTGACTTTCAATCCTTGACTGACGTCCAATGATCTTTTGTTGCAGCTAAAGGCGCATAAACTTATTAGGTGTGGACTCTAACAACCAACCGGAGGCTTTTTGAGTGGTCACTCTTTTACTGATCGCTGAAAGGGATCATTCAACTTTTGCATGCGTATGAAACATTATAATAAATTATTTTATCAATGCCATATCTGATGTAAACATAGACAAGAATAGAATGTTTAGCATATTCAGAGTTAAGCAACACTGAATCAAGTGGTCACAAAATCAATGCAATTTTTGTTTCTATTTTGCCTACCTAGTTATTTTTTGTGATTTTGGTACTACAAAGAAAGATTTTGACCAAAGATGGTAGGAAAATTTGTAAATATACGTCCACACCTTTGGAACTGAAAGAGGAAAACAAAATTACATCTTGGTTGCATGCAGGGATGTTGAAAATAGATTAACAATGAAAGCATGGGCTACAGGATTGGACTGAAGATTTCTAAATTTATTGCGTAAGCTGTGATGAGAGTGACAAGCAAAGGAAATTCTATCGGTGGTCACTTGAAATCTCTATTAAAAGACTTACGAATCACTTCTTCCCCCTAAATTTTAACTAATATAATTAATTTTCGTAAAATAATTTCCTGATTTACCAGCATAAATACTATCCCTAGTCACAAATAAAAAGCATTTTTTCAGATACTAGCTGCTCAAATGTCTAATCTTCATAAATGTTACACACAAACGCACACACAAATTTTCAAGTAATCACAATTAATTTGAAAATAGTCTCTTGATAAATTGCAAAACATGGACAAAGACATACAAAATAATGAAGGCAGTTGAAAAAAAAAACGAAACACAAAAAAGAATTGATAAGAAATGAACAAACAACAATGAAAATATGAGTGAAAACTAATTTACCTGAGGTTAAAAAGTATCTATCAATGTTCGGCCCTCTTTTAATGGGTGGGTATTTATGACTCTTGCTACTTTCGATTAGTTCTGATACGCTTGATTCGATTTTCTTTACGTCCTACACACAGTAGATGAATGAAGCAAAATAATAAATGAGAAGTAAACAAAAAATGCGCAAAATGACAAAATAAAAATCAGCCGTTGACTGAAAGGAAAATAAACAACCAAAGAATACAGAAATAAATTCAACTTGATGATTTGCTTTCATGAGAAATGTTTAATAAAAAAGGCATGAAAGTAGAGCAATGACTAAGGGTCGTAAGATATTATCTTCATTTCAGTGCACAGTTTTTTTTTAAAAAAATTCATTCTTGATAAGTACGTAAAAAATGAGAATGCCTGCATTTTTCCTTTTTTCACTTATAATGTAGCGGAGGCAAAGACTTTCAAATTTGCCAAAAATCCAACTCCGCCTCCAATAGAAAAACATCATGCCTAACAGATTTTGTGACATCACAAGAAGAATTGACCTGGTGGGCATCCTTTCATCTACAATTGTTCATTGCCTTCCAGGTCACAATTCAGGTCGAGGATATGTATTTCGACTGTGTTTGTAATATTATCGTTGTTTGAGGTGAATACTTTTTTCTTATTTATTTTTTTTAAAAAAATAAAAGAATTTGTTCATGATCAGAACCGTGCGTCGAACATGTCACATTGGATTCAACATGGTTTCAACCATGAGTCGTTGCCTTAAATGATGTCATAAGCTTCAGGCCAAAGAGAAACAATCTTCTTTTAACTTTCTTTGTAAGCTCCTTTTGGTACATAAGTATGGGGTGGAGGAGAGGAAAGGGGGGGGGGCAAAGAATAAAAATTGGATTATGAAAAGAAGAAATTCAGAAAAGATATTAAGTTCTGTAACAGTGATATAAATAAGTCTCTAAATGCAGGGTATTAAAAAACTTTCTTGCAGCAAAATAAAAGAACAAAATAATCAAAAGACCGGGCAACTCAAGTGATTGACATAAATCAATGAGGGAAGGAAACCTGCAAAAATGGTATGAATGAAGTTAACAAGAAAATTATCTTCAAAATGCATGGTGGGGAATGGGCCTCATAAAAAATGCATACAATTTCTCTGACACACCATTCAGGAACTAGGTCAGGCAGGGCTATGAAATAATGATTGTTCTGTATGTTCTAATATTGACCTAAGGCTTTAGCTCATGAATGACGAATAAATGAATGAATGAAATCTACGCCAAATAATGAATGGCGGAGGTAAATGCAGAGTGTTTAGCTGGATTTCATTTTCACTTGATTGCCGTTTAACCTAGATCGCAAAACTTCCCTGCATAAACTACTGCAACTTTCCATTTTTAAATTTCCAAGTACATATTGCCAAAGACGCACTGGTAGGTAGTAGAACTTTGTTCCATAAAAAAGAAAAAAAGAAAAAAAAAGCTAAGTATTATATTTTTTTTATTAAAACTGTTAGAATTATGACTCTTAGACACAACTAAAAATGATGGGACGAAAATCAATCTTTCCGCTTCTGTTTTCCATTAGGATTTTTAGGTTTACTTAAAGCCTCTGATAGTTTTTATTTTGTACTATACAATCAATTTTTGTTTTAAGTATTTATCAATTTGTTTAATCTTCAATTGTAAGTTTTATGGCATCTCTTTCACTCCTGAGGATTATCTCTGTCAATACATATTAAAAAACAATGAAACAAATCACATGATCAGCACCATTTTTATCATGATTTAGTTGATAAATGGGATTTCCAATCACTGGAGCATGGAGGAGGATTACTTCCTTCTGCCATCGAGAAAAGTACCGTTCAACACAGTTGCGTTGGAACGTCTTGTTTTATCTTAATCACCAATAAAAAGTGGACTCTTTTAGTGCTTATCACATGCTACTTCTGTTTCCTACGACTAAGAGGCTTCAGTTTCAAAAGATATATCTCTCCCGCTTCCTATAGATTTCTGTGTGTTGCCATTTCATTCGAATTCTGAAAGTCGACTACAAAGTCGAATACTTAAAAAGAATTTTGTATGGAATTCTACTACAGATACGAACTTTTAAATCAGTTTCCTACAATAATTAACAAATGTGCTCAAGGAAACACATTTTGATGTCAAAGATTTAATATTAAAAAAAAGAAAACTGTGAGAGTAAACAAAATTAAATAAATCACGGTCACTCTAACATCGATCTTGGTCATCTGCCATTCATAAAGACATCAGTGGCTATGGTTAAGTATCAAGCTGCAATACTGAGTAAGCCTTATCATAGATTAATCATTGAGATCCCTTCCAGGGAATATAAATGCCAAAATTGGCATTTCAACGTCAAGATTCCTAGTTTTTATGGAGCTAAACACCCTGAGAGAGAGAGAGTGCAGAGCGTGCAGGAATTTTCAATGCAAATTATAACAAATGTACTGAGTCCTAATACCTGATGAGTTAAGGTACACATCGAAAGGTTCTCCTCTGCGAACCGGTGGGAATAATTTACACCTTGAGAAAGACAGCGCTAATTTTAGCTGTGATTCCAAACACCGATAATCCTGCTTGTCAATGATCCACATTAAACAACAGGTAAGTAAGCAAGTAGACAAAAACTTGAAAAAATTTAAAGAGTGCTGCATCTTAAAACTGCCTTGGGTAAAATTGGATACCTTATAATTATATTCTTTATTTGAATCAGCATTTAATGGAATACTTTGATCATGGTTATTTTTAAAAGGAAACTACTTAAGTGTTTGAGGACTAAAAAAACAACAAAAAATAGAGAGAATTCTTGTGCGGACAAATTAAAGAGTTCAAAATTTCTTAAGTTCCGACACTATCAACAAACAAAAATCGAAGATCAGAAAATAGTATTCAAAATGTTGGAAACAAATAATTTAAATTTTCAAGTGACTTTTCTTTATTTCAAGCGGAATATTATGCTGAACTTACATTCACGAATAGTTGGAACCTGTAGTGCTGATAAAATATGTTTGTACCCACATCCAATTCATAATTTTATAAGTAGGTACCAGGAGTTCTCGTCAAAATAAAAAGCTGAATCTCAGCATACAACAGAAAAGTTGTTCATCTTGGTATGGAAACCAAATAGAGCAGTTAAAATGACGGATTTCCCATTTTACTCTGAGAATTAGCAGATTTCTTTGATGAGGCCTTCATTCCAGTCATTTCCTGCTGACTGGTGTCACACTGGTGGTAAAGCGATTGGCCCCTTGGGATTTGATGTTTGGCATTCTTATTGTACATATATTCGTACGTATGATACATAGCCAAGTCGAAACCCCCACGAAGTAAAGAACTTTTCAAACAAGTACAACAAAATTGGGTACTACTCAAAATATTTAATTTTTAAAATGCTCCAAATCAAAATCCAACTTTCTGATTGTCAAATTTGCTTTTGAAAAAGGATTTATTTCTATTTCCTTTTCAATATATCTACAGCCAAAGTGCAAAATCACGTATCTCTGTTTACAACATGGCAGACTTCCTGTCATACTTCATTTTTAAATTGGAAAACTACTCGACATAATTCCTTGAAAACTTCCTGGATTTTGTTTCCTCTCTTAGCAGCATATTTTGCATACACTTCAAGTTCCAAAGTTGACTTAAAATCCCTTTGAAAAAATAAAGTAGGAGCGGAGATTCTGAAATATCGCAACAAAGATACGTCGATCAGCATTTTGGCCATTGATGTAACACACAATTTTGCTGTTTATTGCATGCAATCACTAAGTTTGTGAATAATACACCTGTGTTATTCCTAAGCTACTATTTATGAATTTGAGGCGCTTTACAGCTTTTACTTTTTAGCTGTACATAGATCATCTTTTTGCACCTCAAGAAATTTCATCAGCAACTTTCTTGAGGAGAAACATTAGAAATATGCTACAAATTGAACTTACATCAAATGTGAGTAGGGGCTCTTCATCCTCTCGCTTGAAGTATTCAACATTGACAGTGACCAGACCATTCGGAAATCCTCTGACTATGACATACGCGTCTCTCTTGGCAGTGAACGTCGATAGTGGTTTCAGCTCTTGCCCGTCTTCGATGGATTCTTTCCTCAGGGGCGTCAAATCCGGTAAATAGCCACTGAGCACTTTCTCAACTGAACTCGAAATTTTTTGCCATTCGCTTTTCACCTTCGAAGGGGTGACTGTGAAGTCTATCAAAATTGTGTGAACAGCCATGGTTTCCTAAATTGAAACCTGAAATACAAATAAGTGCATCAATATGTGCTTGAAATTACAACATACACCAGAAATAGCAAGGTGTTCAGGTGATACTGCAATGATGGGAATAGTAGAGTTGCCAGTTTAATTTAAAGCGTATTTAAAGATTCAAAGGAAGTTACGTAAAAAATGCAATTACTTGTCTTTAAAAATCATTGACATTTGTGACTCTTACAGAAGTATGTGAGAACCAAATGGGGATTTATAATACTGAAACCTTCAAACCAAAAAATGTCATGCTGGTCGCTTTGCTGACGGGAGATTTTCATCTTGTTACGTACATATATACAACATGACGCACTGTGGTCTGAAAGTCCCAGTAAGTATCGATAAGCTCTCATACTTTATAGCATGAAGCAATACAGAGTCATAAGAAAAGATTTCAGAGACTGACTGCATTCTGTTTGATTGATCTGTCCCTTATACTTAAGAACACTGAATGTGTCATACATATTGACAGCCAAAGTGCGAACCCACATGTCTCCGTTTGCAACAGAGCAGACTTCCTGTCATACTTCATTCTCTTAGTAGAAAACCAGAGAACTTATTTTCTTGAAAACTTACTAGATTTTCATCTATATTAGCAGAATATTTCCTATAAATTTCCAGCTAAATAGTTGTCTTGCTTTTCATCAAAATTAAATAGGAGCAGAGATTTTGGAACACCGCAATGGAGATAAGTGGTGTCGCACTTCAGCCTTCGATATGGTGTTCTGACTAACTCCTAAATCAAATTAGCACACTAGGTCATTCACACTTCATAAGTTGAAAAATTATCGCTCAAAATCAAATTCAGAATGGAATTTTGTGCCTTTTGCTAATGAATATGTGACAGATTCATCAATGAAAAATGACCCCCCAGGGTGTAGAGTCCCTTTATAACCCAGAGTTAAGACAACTCGATTATCAGCTGACTGGCAGCCGGCCTTGGCTGGCCATGGAGGCCGAAACGAGTGCACTCAAACGAACGATATTGAGGGATAAGGATAAGGAATCCTCCGATGTCTGTCATCCAAAAACAACAACATCAACAAAAACTGATCAAAACCTTAAAATTAGATTGATTAGTGGATAATTTCTTAATATATTTTCATTTTGGTGCGATTAAAATAACAATTCACTCTTGATAAACCACAATTTAGTTATATTTTCATTACTTTTGTTCACATTCGAGGTACCGCCATCTTGGTGCACTCGTTTCGGCCTCCATGAGCGAGAACCAATCAGAATTGGATTTTTTTTTAGGCCACTTTCAGCCTAACCAAAAGTGAGTTGTCTTAACTCTGGGTTATAAAGGGACTCTACCAGGGTGTGCTGCTGCCTATGTAAATCTTGTTGTTTCTGCCACCCGTTTGTCGCGTAGATATAACCTTAAAATTTGTAGAAGCAGCTACAGGAGGGCTACGATTGGTAGGGCAGAGGTTTCAGATATTGCCAAATTATACATACTTAATGCAAAAAAGAAGGAAAAGAAATTAAGTGGCACCTGGCACAAAATATGGCAAGAACCCTCTAAAAGAGGCCTGTACAATGACTGTATATAACGCGATGTAAATCATGACCAAAACAGAAGATGGTCTTTGTTGGAAGTGGCAAAACCTAGCTCTACTAAGCATAAACAGTAGGGTTATTGTCTGTTATCATGGACCAAGGTTGCCATACGCAACTAGACCAGTGGATTGAGTGACAATTTACATCTGCCGCTACAACTTCAATGCGTCATTACACATTAGTTGCAGGACAGAAATTATTATGGTTTCTCTGACGCCGTCAATTCGAAGAAAGTTGATACATGCAAGGTGCTGGGGTGAACGATACTTCGAAAGTCCGCATGAAACAAGTGTAAGACAGTGTAAGGACACTTTTCGAAGCAGATTTTCTGCAGTAGTACAAGGACAGGGGGACAGAACTGCGTGTGTTATCATGATTCCTTAAATGTAGCAATTCAAAATAAAACTAAATTTGGATGTTGTAATATAGCTAAAGGAGGATAAAAATAAGCTGGCCTCATGCTGTCTGATAAGGATCTAACCTAAACTTGGTTCTTACGCTTCTGACTTGAGGATAAAACGAGGGCAGCAGGAGCAAATACTCACTGTAATCTCACGAACACTCAACGCTTCAAACTGAGACTGTATGAAAGAAGTGTAGAGTTAATGGAACTAATTAATATCACAATTGAAATTAATCAACGACCCAAAGAACCACGCGAGAACAAAGCAATGGCATTCACTGATAACCGGAACGCGGAACCGGCGTGGAACATGGTAATCGATTTATCGATTGCTCGTAACTTCATTGGAGGTGACGGGTGGAGGGGTGGAGGTCACTCGAATGGAGAGGCGCTATTGGGTGAACGGGTGAACTAGCGCTTCACAACTAGAGTATTCACAACCAGTGTGTACTAGGGTTGTCCATTGTTGCCTATTATTTTCGCGGCCTTGACCTTAATACTTATTAAATCCTGCACTGTCAAACTTGCATGCGCTTTTCTTCAAACAAAATTTTAAAAAACTCATTACTTGGGAGAACAAAAAATAAATAAATATAAGTACGGAAAAACTATTAACAACTGTAAAAATGTAAGTTTCTTGAGTAGTTTAAGTAGTTCCTAAACTAACTTTACATGAAGTGAAGTACGATTTGTGTAAGGAAACTTTTTAAAAGGCTCCTTAAAAATCTAATGCAGGTTTTCAATGTCTGTAAATAATGTTAGAAGAAAATGTAAACCTATGAAATAAAAAGAGTAGTTTTTGTGAAAGACATTTCATAGTAAACTTCATAAATTTGATTAAAGCATAGAAATAATATGTATTCTAAAAAGGTTCTGGGTTCTCTGGAAAGTAGGAACCGTGCGAGGCACTTCCCCCTTTCTCTGGCCGCAAACAACGTGTCGATAACCGAGGCAAAAATAAGTGCCTTCATTTAAGAGAGATACAAATTTACTCACGGGAATGCTACAATAGATGCATAGCTATCGGGATGAAGGGGTTTCCATTCAGCGTGAAGTACGGAAGGCGTGCTCATGCTCATGCCGATTGTTGGAATGTACGAAATGTTAGAGTTGTTCAAATTTTGGAAGCAAGCGCTTAGAAATGAATTATTTAGGTAACATGGAAGTGATATTTGTTTTTAAAGTTGGCCAAAGGCAGTCACTTAAATGCAAGAATGTAGAAAGAATTATTGCTGATCGAGAAAAACTAGAGAACTTGTCAATTTTTCTTTCAATTTTCCCAATCATTTTTAGTAAACAAATTTACAGGAAATGGTAGCTCCTTATTGCAATACTTAGCCCAATACTGTTATTAAAAGGGTCAAAATATTAAACTTGAAAAAGTATACTTGAAGAGTATATGGGTGCTCTTCGCTCGCATTGGTGCTCATTGTTTCGTAATTCGTATTCGTGTCTCCCCGAAGCTCATGGTCAGATGATAAGCAGTGGCGTAGGAAGGGGGGGGCCAGGGGGGGG